CATCATCCTCTGTCTAGCTTTTCTCTTTAATTATTACCCATAGCAGAAGAAAAAGAACTGTCCTAAAAAGTAAAAAGGTCTTGATTTCAAATTCAAAGGCAGCATAATTTAGAATGATAATACCTGATTTCACATCACAAGGCTAAATAAATTCTTAACATTCATTAATTATTAACAATAGGGCCTAAGTGTTACTTTTGTACATAGCTGCAAATCTACATATGTGGTAAATTTTCTTTTTTAAAATCAATGGGCTGGAACTGTCTCTAAATTTACAAGATAAGATCCAAGGGGGAGAGATCCTTCAGTATTTCAACCCTTGATGTCTTCCAAAGACATAGAACAGTGCCTGGCAAAGAGTAGGCAGGCATTCATTTCATACTTGCTGAATATTGCTCAAGATGGTTCAGATACTATGTATGTCAATATATACAATGAGCTACAGATTCTCAAGGAACATAAAGTTGAATTCTGGGTTCATCTGAAAACAACCATTGACTTCAGACTTCACACAGTGCTGCACAAGCCAACTGACACTACCGCAAAAGCAAACTGATAATGTATATAAGAATAAAATTAAACATTTTACATAGGAATCATTAAGACTCTGAACTTTAAACCTTGCCAAGAAGCTGGCAAAAAAACAAAATTGTCACCAGCACAACCAAAATTTTCAACAAGCAAACTCTTCCACTTTTTTTTTTTAAATTATAGACAATACAACTCCAAAAGAAGCATGGGGCTTCAACAAAAATTTTTAAATTTTAAGAATTTCACTTCAACACCAGTATATTTACTACAAAATTTCATTTACAGTATTATAAAACAGGCCCGACCTTTCTTCTACCAAGTGACCTAACTATGCCAAAAGAACACTAAATGCAATATTTCTGAATATACCTAAAATTGCTCAATCTGTTTCCCACTCCTAAAAATATAATGTAAATATTTATGAAACTAGTATTTTTAGTTTTCCCTACTAAAAGCCATCATGAGCACTTAACTGTGAATTAGGCTATGTTTCAGCCTTTACTAATGGGTTACCCGTCCAACCCTTGTTTATCTGCTACTAACTCATGATGATGTTTAGCTAGTCTCTCTCTGTTCTGGGCCTGTTCTGTAGAATGAGGGACCTGAGTTAAAGTAATGCTTTTTTTTTTTTCCTTAAGATTCTGTCTCTTTACCTTTAGAGAGAGGGGAAAGGTGAGAGAGAGGGAGAGAAATATCTACTGGCTGCCTCTTGTAGACCCCCCAACTGGGGACCTAGCCAGTGACCAAGGCATGTGCCCTGACTGGGACCTAACGGGGACCCTTCAGTTTGCTGGCCATCACTCAACCCACTGAGCCACACCTACTGGCAAAGAAATGGTTCTTTTAACCTTTTCTTTGCAACCATTTGAGAATCTGGTGAAAACTACAGGTGGCATCTCCATAAAAATGCACATATACACTCATATAAAAATTTTATAAACAATTAGTAAAAGACTGGAAACAACCTTACTGTCCACCAACAGATGGTTAAGTAAACTATATTACATCCATTTAATGAAATTCTTTGCAACTGTGAGTAGAAGGAAGAAACCTATGTGCTGACATAAAAAGATTTCCAGCACAGAAATGATGAAAAGACTGCCATTGCTATTGGGGGGGGGGAGTTGCAGAACATTGTGCATAATACACAACCTTTTGTGTAAAAAAAAAATTAAAAAATAAAATATATCTGAATTTTCATGTATAAGCATAAAAACACTGTGGAAGAATAAACAAGAATCTTTGGTGGGAGTGAGAAATGAAGGAAGAGGTAGGAGGGAACTTTTTATTGTGTACTTTTTTAATATTGTTTGACTTATGTGAATACATTGCCTATTAAAATTTAAAATTAAACTATATTGTAGCCCTGGCAGGATGGCTCAGTTGGTTGGAGCATGTCCCTGTACACCACCAAAAGGTTGCAGGTTCGATCCAGTCGGGGTGAACAGAGGAGACAACCAATCAAAGTGTCTTTCTCACATCAATGTTTCTCTCTCTTTCTCTCCCCTCCCCCCCCTCTAAAATCAATAAGCATATCCTTAGATGAGGGTTTAAAATATATATCTATATAGGTATATATAGATGTATATTTTATATAAGTGTATATATTAATTTATATATATAAATAAATCTGTGTGTATACATATAAAATAACTTAAAGAAGTCCAGTCATGGTGGGTATGGCTCAGTTGGTTGGGTCTCAGCCTGCAAAGGGAAGGATCACCAGTTCTATTCCTAGTCAGGACACATGCCTGGGTTGTAGGTTTAGACCCCAGTCAGGGTGCATGCAAACGGCAGCAGACCAGTGTTTCACTACCTCTCTTACTCCTTCCCTTCCTCCCTCTCTAAAAATAAAAAAATAAATACTTTTTAAAAATAAAAATAAAGACATCCAGACAACCTGCTCACTGAAGCTAGAAGATAATTTCCAAACCCTGTCTACCAATATTCTTCTATAATGCATTGACTAAATAAGCATGTAATTATGTTATATATACTCAATGATCCAACGAGAATATTTAATAAAAAGACTTTTCATGATGTTACTTAATATCAGTATTTAGCCCTGGCTGGTGTAGCTCAGTGGATTGAGTATGGGCTACAAACCAAAGGGTCGTCAGTTCAATTAATTCCCAGTCAGGGCACGTGCCTGGGTTGTGGGCCAGGTCCCCAGTGGGGGCCCCATGAGAGGCAACCACACATTAATGTTTCTTTCCCTCCCTTTCTCTCTTCTTTTCCCTCTCTCTAAAAAATAAAAAATAAATAGAAACCTTTAAAAATATTTTAATATTTATTTAACACTCAGTGGATACTCAGTGACTCAACAGATATTAATCTGGAACCTTGTTTTATATAATTTTCCTTAATCACTGATACACTTTATGATAAATTTCTTCAAGGGAAAAAGTTTTCACAAATCATCAAGCCATACTCCCTCTCATGATTCAAATTTCAGACCAGATATTTCACAAGGGAGTCCAGGCTTTGGAAATAAAAATACTGGGTTGGCCAAAAAGTCTGTATGGTTTTTTCTGTAAAATAAGATACATTTTTCATTTTTACCAATAATTTTATTGATTTGGATATTTTGATTGTATAGGCTATCTCCTGCTATTGATTTCTAGTGGGTAGAGGCCGGGGGTGCTGCTAAATATCTTCCGATGCATAAGACAACCCCACAGCAAAGAATTATTTGGCCAAAATGTCAGTACTACCCAGAAACTTCACAAACCATTTTGACATGTTCAATCAGTCCCAGTACCTTCTCCATACACTGCACAAATCTTTCTTGAAATAATAAAGCATACTCTGAAAGTGTTGCATATCTTCTTCCATCTTCAATATTAAAATGGCTGCACAAAAATTCACCAATATTGGTAAGCTGTTTTAAATGCACACAAATATGACAGCTGTCACAATACAATCTAACAGAATTGTTTCAAATGAACTTAAAGACAACTAAGCATTACTAGAGCCATCATGTGGAAAAAACTAAACGCACTTTTTGGCCAACCCAATAGAAATTCCTATCCTATTTGACCGTACAATCAAGAGTACTAATAAGGAGACTAGAAAAATACTCTTATTTTTTGGACAGAATTTCAGAATTTGAAGCAAATTAAATAACTTGAGATCATCACACAGCATCCACAAATTAGATGACATTTGGAGAGTCCTTAATCGCTGATATGAGCAGAAATCAGACAGGACTGGATTTTCATCCTTAGCAAGTTATTTAACCTCTCTGGGCCTCAGTTTCATCTGTTAAATGGAAGTAAAAGTACCTATCTCATAAGGACGTTGTGAAGCTTAAAAAAGGAAATGTAGAAAGTTAAGCCGCAGAAATAAAAGATATCCTAGTACAGTGGCAGGTGTCTGACTGCTTGAATCAAAACAAGCTGCATCCTGGAACCTGTAGTTTCTAGCGAGTGCACTTTCATACATAAGGAATGTATGAAACTCTACTGAAAATAACACTAGGCAGAATTCCCAACACAAGAGGTGCAAATATCTGGCCTTTCTTGATTATGTCTCTTGAAAATCTAAGCAAGCATGTGTTACCAAAGCTAGAGATGTGTTGACTGGTGTGTCTCTGAGTCCTAACATAAGCTAAAAACAGTTTTATTTTGTGTTTTAAAGAGGGCACTTTCTATGTCAAGCCCAGTACCAAAGAGTAGCAGGCTGGGGGAGGTAAGACAGGCAAAGTTGAAGGCCAACAGTCCTGAAACTTTGAATCGCCAGGATGACAGCAGGAAACCTACACAGCCAGGGAGATAAAAGTAGCCCCAGGCCAAACCAATCTCCGTTTCCTAAACTTCTAAACCCCATCCAGTTTTCTTCCCCTCGAGCTTATTATTAGTATTATTATAAATATAAATAGTCGTCATTTATTGTTTCCTCACTCTGTGCTAGGCTGGGCTAAACATGCATTTTAAAGATTTTGTGAAAACTCCACATGTGAGCTCAACCCTTCAACCCACTCTACTCTCAAGTCTGAAAAGCTCCCGTCGCATCCTTACATTCAACCTGTTCTTAAACTCCAGACACTCCACATCTCTTACTGACCCAATCGGGCCCATAAACAGTCTACCTCAGCCTCTTCACCCAACACTAAACCAGGCACTTCTCTGATCTTCCAGGGCCACTGTGAAGTTCAGTCCCCTCTTCCACACTGCAATCCCAAGCCTGGCCCTAACTTGTTACAAGAATGCTACGGTTCCCTCCAAACTTCTGACTTACAAAAGGCGCAGGATCCCCTCAGTGCCCCTCCAAATCCACCGGGCCCGTACTTCATTCCAAAGTTCAAAATTCAGAAAAAGATAATACACTTGGGCAGAGCCCGGTTCCAACCCCGTAAGAACTCTCCACACTCGCTCCTTTAGGGCCTGGGACCCTCCACTCGTTAACCAGGCCGGGCTGGGCGCGCACGGCCTCGCTCCGGACCCCAAAGGAAGGAGGGGAAGCTCCACCTGGCTCCGCCGGCGCGGCGCGCGGATCCTGCTCCAGCCTGGGCCCCTCGGCGGCCGCGCCCCCGTCCCGGCGCGGGCGGCAGCGCTCCGGCTGGCCGCGGCGGGCGCGCTCGCCCAGCACCTCCGCGGTGGCCTGGCCGTCGTCGCGGGCCCGACGGCGGGCCCAACTCGGGCCGCGGGCGCGGCAGCGCCGGCAGCCTGGGCCCGCTGCGTCCGCGGCGCGTTGGGCGCAGCCTCGGCACAGCGAGTGGCCGCAAGGCAGGGCCGCCGCTTCTCCCGGGGTCTCCAGGCAGCCGGCGCAGCCCGATTCCTCCGGCCGCGGCGGTGGCTGCAGCAACGGCTGCGGCAACACGAGCAGCGCGTGCCCGGAGGCCGGACCCTGGGCCCCAGTCTTGGCTGCCGCCATCTCGTCACAGCGGCCCCGCCGGCTCCGCCGACTCAGAGCCGCCGCTGCCGCCGCGGAAGAGGCCCGAGTACTCGGACCTGCGGCCGCCATCTTGTTTCCCGTTTGAGGGGAGAGTCCGTTGCGAGGGAGAAGAGTAGAAGGTGGGGCGGTGAGCGGCAGGCAGCGCTAGCTACATATTCATGAGGGGGCGGGCCCAGGGAGGTTTTTCCCGGACGTAGTAGTAGGTGAAAGAAACTTCATTAATATTTGCTAGTTATACTTTATATATCCGGTCTTCGCACTCCTTCGGCAGTCTGCAGTTTCCTTTTATTCCACCAAATGACTGAGGGGTTTATTGGAAATTCTGAGCGTAAATTAAACTTTCTGAAGTAATTGCACTTATTTTTTCCTCAAGAACCAGATAACTCAAGCTAAAGTGAGTGGGGAGTATGTAAATTATCCAGAACCCCGTCTCCGTGCATCATTTCACGTGAGGGCAGCGTTTGTGACTGAAAGTACGCCTACTGTGACCAGAAACCGCCAAAAATAACAGCTGCTTGTCAGTCCTCATCTCCATATCCTTCTCCATGGCCCTTCCTTCCTGAAACTCCCGTCTTTTGGCTGGGAAACCATACTTTCTTGGGGGGGGGGGGTCCCCGCATTTCCCCGGCTCTTTGTCAGACCCCTCCCCCCTTATTTGGGGCTTACATGTAGGTGTGCCTCTGGGGTCAGGCCTCGGGCCTCTTCTCCCCACCTCCTGCTCACACTTTCCCCCCTGAAACTCCCGAATTGCCTGCGGTCTACACCTCCCGAGTCCAGCCCTGCACATTCCACTGCCTGATGCAGGCGTCATCTTGGAAGTCTGCGTGTCTGATGTACAAAACTGAAGTCACTGTTTTCCACCTTCCTTTCAAAACAGCACTTGTGTTCCTCCTTCTGTTAAAGGTACTCACCTCCCAATTCCTCAAGCTCCAAATCTGTCTTCTCCATCATCTTCACTTCTCCATCATCTCCTACATCTGTCAGTGTCTTAGTTCTGTCAGTTCTCCCACCAAAATGACTGTTTTTTCCACCTCTCCTCTCCTCTCTATCCCTCTTCCACTGCTCAGTTCAGGTGCCATCTCTCACCTACAGCACTGCAGTAGCTTGGATAGATGGTCTCCCTGCCCACAGCCTCTCCTCCAATCCATCTTCCACAGCTCTCAGACTTGCTTTCTGAAGGGTAGCTCTGACCATGTCATCCCTGCTTGGGCGAGTCACTGGGTGAGGTCTTAGAATTTGACGCCAGCCCCCTTTCTGGATGCAGAGAGTATGAGAGAAAGAATGGCTCCCCTTTGATACAGTTCTGCTACAGCAATTCTCCCACCCCCTTTTTTTTTTCTTTGCACTAGGGTAGATTTGGAGCAGGAAGGCATTAAGAAAACATTTCCTTTTGGGAACCTCTTTATAAGACAACACAAATTTTGTAAGAGTAAAGTCAAAAAAGCAACATAATGCAATGAAAGGCATCAGAGGCCCTGGGTTTCCATGAGATTGTCCGGAAACAGTGCCTGAGGTGGTGGTAAACCAATCCAAGACAGAAAGCAGAAAAAAGAAAGAAGTGGATTCCCAAGATGAGAACCAGATGGCTAAAGAACAGTCAAGAATTGAAAAAGGGTCAATGAGTAATTGAAACAAGGGCTTGTGTTTACAGAGGCCCAGACGGTCACAGTCCTGCCAAACACAAAAGTGTGGCCTCAGCTTCACTGTCCTTTGTCCAGGGGTCCTCCTCATTTCACTCCCCATGTGCAGTTCTTGAGGACACTTTGCCCAGATTCTGACAAGGGAGGCCCGTGGTCCGGAGATCAAGCCCACTACCATTAGAAACAGGGCCCGTGGGGTGGGCTGTTCACTCTTGACAGTTTGGGCCTCTTAATCTGAAGCCTATTTACTGTTGGAAGAGCCGAAACACAGAAGTGTAGCATGCTTTCTTGGATACAAATAAAGACAGGAAATGTTCTTTTGCGGAGGAAAAAAGCAAGAGGTCTGAAAAGCACTGTACCAAAAGCCAGGAGATCTGGGACTGGTCTTGGCCCCTTTCCCCCTTTCATGAACTCATTTGTGTGTGATTTCAAACAGGTAGCTTTGCTCTGGGCCTTAGTCTCCTCATCTTTAAAGCAAGGGTATTGGAATTCAGCACTTGTCGACCTGGGATGCACCTCACAGAGACACGCACCCACCCCCCACCCGCCGCCACACACTATATTCACACATATGCCGAAGTCCCAGCTCAGATCAACTGAACCCAAAAACTGAGGGTGGGATGCCAACATGTGTTATTTTTTTAATGCCTTAGAAATGCTGATGAACACTCCTAGATAAGACTACTGCCACAAATAAACTCAAAGGTCTCTTCTAGTTCTAACATTCTAGAGGTCTGACTCCCAATTTCCAGTCCCTTCTCTCCTTTGCTGTTGCTAAAGTAATCTTCCTAAAGCAGTAGCAGTGACAGAAGGCAAAGCAAATCCAGGAAATCTGGAGAGCTATTCACTATGTGAGAAAATGAGGGAAATAAGAAGGATTCTAAAGTGTCAAGCCTAGGAGCCTGAGATTATGATCATAATAGACAACGGACAAAAACAGAGACACTGGAAAGAAAAAGCAGCCTAAACAGGGAGGACGTGGTAGACATTTTGTTTCGTTTACCATCAGTGCCCAAACCTTCTTTCTATTCAGGAGACTGCCCCATTCTATGCAGTGTTGCTGAGACCAGGGAAGCTGAAGCAAGGAGATACTCTTCTCCCTGTCCCCTGGAAGCCAGAACATGATATGTGACCTAGGCTTAGCCACTTGGCCACTCTCCTCTAAACTCTGAATTTTCGGAGAATGACACGAAGACACATTGACAGATTCAGAATTATTCAGAGCAACAGAGACAGAAGGTATCCAAATGCAGTGGGTCCCTCGGAGGTTAGGGAATGGAGGTTGGTGTCCCTACCGTGAGGAGGGGCCACTTCAGATTGTTCCTGAGGTGTGAACTTGGTTGTGGTGCCTGCTGCCTGGCCTTTCTAGGTTAATACCCATTTTCCATATCTAACTCTCCAGCCTTCCTGTCAACAATTTGTATCCTTTCAGTAAATTTCCCTCTCTCTTAAATTACTCACAAATTCTGTTGTTGGCATCAAGGTGCTCTGACTGAGACATTGGTGTGTTGTTTTTGAAGTGTCACCTGATAATAGTTGCTTTGTAAATTACAAAATAATCTGAGAAGCTGAGCCGACAGCCTAGAATAGAGCGAGCCCGAGTGTCGGTGTTCTTTTTTTCCAAGCCCTCACCTGTACCACAGACCACCAAGGGAAGAGGGGCTCCCAGCCAAACTCACTTTAATGCCATCATCCAGGATGCCAACTGGAACAGATAGCAGTGTGGCCATGCCTGCCAGCGCCTCCTCTCCAGCTGCTTTTCCTCTGCCCCTCCTGCCGTACTTTCTAAGAATTTCACTGCTGCCAAAATTCCCCGCCATCCTTCTCATAATGTGTCTACCTAGGTGGCTCCCCATGGTCCATACCGTCCAGCCCTTCAGCACTCCTCACCTGCATCGCTGCAAACCTCCCCTCATTTCTCTTCCCTCTTCCCTCCAGCTGAAAGTGCCAGCTTCTCCCTGCTGGTTTGAAAAACTCCCAAAGTAAAGACAGGCTATTCTCCCTGCAGACCCAAGAACCCGTTCTTGCCAACCCAGGCCCCAAGTCCATCCTGAGACCTCACAGATCTAGGAGGGAGGAGGCCCAGTCTCTCAGGCCACACCAGTACCTCCTCTTCTTTACCCTCCTCATGTCTTCTGGTGGAATCTTCTGCCTGTCCTCTTTCTCCCTCAAGCCAGATTTCTCCTTGAGATTTGGCCCCTTCCTTTGCTCTAAAAATTTTTGCTATAGACCTGGCCAGGTAGCCTAGTTGGTTAGAACATTGTCCTGATATGCCAAGGTTGAGGGTTCAACCCCCAGTCAGGGCACATAGAACAAACAACCAATGAATGCATATATAAGAAGAACAACAAATCGATTATTCATTCTCTCTCTTTCTCTCTAAAGTAAATGAATTTTTGTTGCGTTATTATTCATCTTTAGTTCCTTCCCTTTTGCTTCTGAGGAGGAAATAGTTCTTTTTGCAAAGCTAACCCTTCTACCTGTGGTCTTTCTAACCTCCTCCAGATTCTTTCCAAACACTCTAAAAATACAAATAAGACTTGGTCCCTGGCCCCCTTAAGAGCAGAATCTAAAAGACAGGCAAAAATATTGCTAAATAATTATAACAGCAAAAGAGAATTATAAGAGAATTTGAAGCTCTATCACTGAGATACATTCAAGGTGCTATGGAAGCAGAGAGCAAAGTTGCAGCGGGGGGGGGGGGTTGGTCAGGTGTCATGGCAGGGAGCGTTTGAGTTGTGCTTTGAAAGATTCTAGGTGGATATAGAGGTATCCACCTAGCAGGTAGACAAGGGAAGGCACTCCAGGCATAGGGAAAACAAGAGCAGAGGCACAGAGGCATCAAAGTTCAGGATCTGCATGGGACTGATAAAGAGTTTGATGTGGCTACTTCATTGGGCTGGACATGAAGCTAAAACATTGGAGAGGAAAAGGAAGTAGAATATGTTGAGCAACTGCCACATGCTAAGTGCCTGCTAGGCACTAACACACCTATGGCACATAAACCAAAGTAACCCTGTAAGGTTGGCATGTTGTTATTTCTATTTTACAGGGAAATAAACTCAGGAGATTGGGGGCATTGAAAGATTTCATATTTGGACCAAGGGAGTGTTGCATATGGATTTGAATTTTTTAAGAATAACTCTAAATCCTATAATTATCAGTGAGGAATAAAAATAATCTAAGCAAACTTCATTCCACACCATGGAGTTGAGATATCACTAGAGAAAATATAGTGCGGTTAACATTCCTTTATTCAACAGCTATTTATTGAACGTCTACTATGTGGCAGGATAATATAGGTGCTGAGAATTCAGCAGTGAACAAGGCAAGCAACGTATGGATGCTGAGCCAATTTTGGTGGGCCCAGCTTTAGGTACACTATTTGGCATATTCCAGATGCTGTGGAATGAATGAATGTTATCCCTTTAGTTTTGTCTTTAATGTTTAAT